TCTCTTCTCTCTGTCTCCGTTTTGCTGCTGAACTGTCTCCTGGGGATCCACCTGCTGCTGCTGCTGCTGCTGCTGCTGCTGCAGCAGCAGCAGCAGCAGCAGCAGCAGCAGCATCAACTCCCTGAACACCATTCCCTGCCTCTCCTCCCCCCTCCCCCCCAGCCCCAGCAGCACCACCAGCAGCACCACCAGCAGCACCACCAGCAGCACCACCAGCAGCAGCACCACCACCAGAAGCAGCAGCAGCAGCAGCAGCAGCAGGTTCCTGCTGCAGCAGCAAGAAAGAAGAGAAGGGGGCCCCCACTCCCCCACGCCAAAGGGCCTCAACCTGCATTTTGTTTTTTGTTAGTGTGCCTGTCTTGTCGCTGCATATCTCCGTGGCTCCCCCCATCGTCTCGCATGCAGCCAGCCGCCGCACGTAGTTCTTGTCTTTCTGTACACAAACCCTAAACCCTAAACCCTAAACCCTAAACCCTAAACCCTAAACCCTAAACATGAAATATGAAACATGAAATAAGAAATAAGAAATAAGAAACACGAGACACTCGACAATAAAAAATAAAAAATAAAAAATAAAAAATAAAAAAAAGAAAATAAAAAATAAAAAATAAAAAAAAAATAATAAATAATAAACAATAAAACAACATTCTTACAATACAGTGGGAGACAGAAACACGACTAGGGAGAATTTAGAGTTCTTTAGGGGTTTGGGGTGTTTGGGGTTTATGGCGGTTTAGGGTTTAGGGTTTAGGGTTTAGACAAACAAGTATTCTTCCAACAGTTTAGGGTTTAGTGTCTAGGGTTTAGGGTTTAGGGTTTAGGGTTTAGGCTGACGAGCATTCTGCCGCCAGAGTAAGCGAGAGAGATAGTAACAGCCAGTCTAGGGTTTAGGGTTTAGGGTTTAGGGTTTAGGGTTTATGCTGACGAGCATTCTGCCGACAGAGTAAGCGAGAGAGATAGTAACAGCCAGCCTAGGGTTTAGGGTTTAGGGTTTAGGGTTTAAGCTGACGAGCATTCTGCCGACGGAGTAAGCGAGTGAGATAGTATCTAGGGTTTAGGGTTTAGGGTTTAGGGTTTATGCTGACGAGCATTCTGCCGAAGGAGTAAGCGAGTGAGATAGTAACAGCCAGTCTAGGGTTTAGGGTTTAGGGTTTAGGGTTTATGCTGACGAGCATTCTGCCGACAGAGTAAGCGAGAGAGAT